TTAACAATGAAAGTTAAATATGCAAATCAAATACCCCACTAACGTCAATTAAAAGGGTTAACTACTTTAAATATATGCAAATCAGGTACCCCACCAATGGCTGGTAAATTACCGACATATACCCCACTAACGCCATCTAGTGACAGAAACTTATACCCCCACCAATGGCTGGTAAATTACCGATGTATACCCCCACTAACGCCATATAGTGACAGAAACTTATACCCCCACCAATGGCTGGTAAATTACCGACATATACCCCACTAACGCCATCTAGTGACAGAAACTTATACCCCTACCAATGGCTGGTAAATTACCGACATATACCCCACTAACGCCATCTAGTGACAGACACTCATACCCCCACCAACGTCCGGTAAATTACCGACATATACCCCACTAACGCCCTGTAACTTACCCTCGCGGTCGGTAAGTAGGAATCTACATTACCGATATGTCCTAGAACCGGCCTAGCTATACTACTGTATATATATATTTTTTATCATTTTTTTAACAAAAAATCCATATTCCGACTCAATTATCTCCAAAACTATTGCCTCTGGGAGCTTGCTACCAGAGACTTTTTTTCTCGTCTTACCATCAGCTACAACTTTGCTGTTGACAACTTTTCACTAAACTTAAAACTTTTCGACTTATTTGCAAAAAACTAATTTTTTATTACATTCTCATCATATGAGAAAGTATTAGTTTTAGTCGAAAATTGACTTTCGCTAATTTCATGAAATCTCGACGTTTTGGGGTCCCCTGAGTCCGAAAAACATGGTCTAAAAAAAGTGTCTGTCCGTATGTCTGTCTTCGTGTCTGTCTGTAGACACAATGGTGTCCCTACGATAACTCTTGAAAAACTTATTGCATCAACTTGCAACTTTGCATGCACAAAGTTAGTGTTAAAATACAGATCGAGTTCGTTAGCCAGCAATTTTCGTCGAAAACTACGCAAACTACAGTAGTTTCAAAATTTTGAAAATTCAATTTTTTCAAATTTCACTATTTTTAACTTTATATTACTTTAGATTAGACAAATACAAAAAAACTTTCCTCTACAACATTTTTTCATAGAAAGTCAAATTTCGGAGTTATAGGCTCTTAAATAGCAAAAAAATACTAAAAAATCCGAAAATAACGATAAAAATCAAAATTTCTCAAAGGAAAAAAATTATAACATTAATTTCCACATATTCTCACCCCATTGTGCTTAAAAAACACTCACATTAATCAAAAACTAGTAATTTCCGGAAAAATTATTGTATATATATATTTTTTATCATTTTTTTAACAAAAAATCCATATTCCGACTCAATTATCTCCAAAACTATTGCCTCTGGGAGCTAGCTACCAGAGACTTTTTTTCTCGTCTTACCATCAGCTACAACTTTGCTGTTGACAACTTTTCACTAAACTTAAAACTTTTCGACTTATTTGCAAAAAACTAATTTTTTATTACATTCTCATCATATGAGAAAGTATTAGTTTTGGTCGAAAATTGACTTTCGCTAATTTCATGAAATCTCGACGTTTTGGGGTCCCCTGAGTCCGAAAAACATGGTCTAAAAAAAGTGTCTGTCCGTATGTCTGTCTTCGTGTCTGTCTGTAGACACAATGGTGTCCCTACGATAACTCTTGAAAAACTTATTGCATCAACTTGCAACTTTGTATGCACAAAGTTAGTGTTAAAATACAGATCGAGTTCGTTAGCCAGCCATTTTCGTCGAAAACTACGCAAACTACAGTAGTTTCAAAATTTTGAAAATTCAATTTTTTCAAATTTCATTATTTTTAACTTTATATTACTTTAGATTAGACAAATACAAACAACTTTCCTCTACAACATTTTTTCATAGAAAATTAATTTTTTTTTTAAGTTTTTGGGTCAGGCTAGCTTAACTGGGTTAAAAAAGTTTTATTGATTTTCTAAAATGTTATAACTAAAATATATTCATAAAAGTTTTAACATTTTAGAAAATCAATGAAATTTTTTTAATGCAGTTTGGCTGGTCTGACCCTTTTTTACATTTCAATTTTTGGTCCTATCTTGTTGGAAATGGTTTTTTACATTCTAATCACATGAGGAGGTATTCGATTTAATGAAAAATTGACTTTTTATACCTCAGGTTGAATGAAAATGGCGACCTTTTTTTCCCATGGACAAAAAAAACAGCTAGTCCCATGCGTTATTTTTGCTCATGGAAAAAAAATGCCGCCATTTTCATAGAAGTCGAACAAGTGAATGAGTTTTACTCCCTGTCGTCTGCTATCTTAAATCGCCACTTTTGTGCCTTTGGAATAAAAAATATCGTAAGTTACACGGGACTTAAAGGCTGCCTTTACGGTACCTTGTTGCTTAATATACTATTTGTTAATTTTATGAAATTTTTGCGTTTTGAGGTGCCCTGAATCCAAGAAACATGGTCTGTCGATTACGTCTGTCTGTCTGTCTGTCCGACGATAACTTTTGAAAAACTTAATTTTTTCAAAAACTTTTTTCGAATTTTTGACTTTTTGTCTCAGCTTAGTGGAGGTGTTTTACTTTTGCTTGTTAAAACGATGGGTAAATATCACATTCACTGTATCCAAATTTACATGTTTTTAATCATACACTTGATATATATTTACAAATCACGTATATAGGGAAAACGGGACATAATGGCTAAGGGGCGTAATGAATAATTGTAATTTATTTAAAAATCGTAAATCGAAATCTGCTTCTGCAAATAATATTTCTACTAAGAGTTAGTATAATTAAAAATAACTTCACAATTTAAATCATCAAGACCAAAAATATACATTTAAATCCACTTTATCTCGCAATCATCAGCAAACAAAAACATGTGATGAGAATGTAATCCTTAAAGTCGTAGTAACTTTAAGAAAAAAAAATGTTTTACGAAACATATAATAGGAAACAAGAACAAGAACACAAATAATGCACAACAATTGCAGACCGCCGCAAGCGAAGCGCGACGTGTGGAATAATCGCCGGAGCGCGAAGCGCGACGATCAATATTCGCGCGCCCCGAGGCGCGCTGAAACTTGCGAGCGAAGCGAGCCCCCGCGCGAAGCGCGGATTAGAATGTGTCTGCGCTTGCGCGGACAGATTTTTATATTTATTATTGTTATTCCTGTAGCGCTTTTCACCCGCAATGCTTTTATTCGGATTTGTTCTGTTTTTGTTTAACCTTTGAGGACAATCAGCAGCTATATGATCAGTGAACTGATTACACTCGTAACACTTCTTTACACCTTGACCTTTGCGGGGACATTCGTTTCTCAAGTGACTCATGTCCCCACATTCAAAACATCTTTCGTTAGACCATTTAATTAAATTTGAATTTGTAAATGAAGCCGATGCTACCGTTATTGTTTTAGATTCCGGGTGATTATTTGTTGTATTTTGTAACCGATTAGCTTCTGCTTGCATTTTAAACATTTTTAAAAGATCATATCTTAATAACTTTTTCTTTTTTGATTTTTTGTTATGAATTCCACGGACTGGACTTCAGGTACTTGATTCATAATGGCATTATATAATGCGTTGCGTTTCTCGTCATCAGAAAGTGGTGTAGAACCCGGAATTGTTTCGTAATTATGTAATATTTCCTCAAAGCGGTCAAGAAATGAATTAGCTGATTCACGATTGGCGTTATATTGAATCGCGTATAATTGTTTCCGAACACTAACGCTCGTAACATTAACTTCGCAACGTTTAATATCTTTTATTTTATTTAGCATTTCGAGTGGGTCTTTGATCTGTAGTATTCTATTGTGATAAATTTTATCGATCCTGTTGATTAAGATGTCGCGAACCTAGAACTTGTGTTTCTCTAATATACTTTCGTTAATGCCGTCCGGAACATCAATACTTTTGTCTATTACATACAATAAGTCTATGGTTCTTAGCTCAGAAGTTAAGAACTCATAGAAATGATCAAATTTAATACGTGACTCTAATTTATAGTCATGTTTCATGTGATTGTCCTTACCTACACTGAAAAAAATACATGAGACATTTTCAACTACATCCCCTTAGTAGAGTAAAAAGTAATAAAACGAACTACTTTTTTAGTTAGTCTGGCTACTTTTAATACTTATTTTAACTGTTTTATGTAGTTAAAAATTATTAATTAAATTAATGTAATTTTACAGTTAACTTTGTAACTGCAAGTATGTTATAGAAATGACTACAGAAAGTAGTAGATTCTACTACTTAAAGTAGTTCGATAGACTAATTTTGTAGTAGTTTTTACTTCTTCTAGGAGTTGAATTATTTTCCATGTAATTTATGTTATAGATTTTTATAGAAGATTATCAACTGTGAGAAGTTGTAAATGCAACTACTTTAAGTAGTAAAATTAACTACAGTTATCAGTTGAACTGTGTCTGGAATGCCTTTAAGTATTAAGCAACTCATCGAAGCGGGCGAGCGTGGTTAGGTGGTTGGGTTATCGGTTTACGAATGTTAGGGTCGAGCGTTCAACTCCCGACGTTTAGAGATTTTTCTCCGTTAGGTATATAGACATTAAATAAATAAGGTATAGGTAAACAAAAGTGGGTAGGGGGAAATATAAAAAAATACAACTCGATAATATTTATAATAAATTATAAATAATTTTATTTTACCATTTTCAGTAGTTACTTTATTACTGAGTTATCTTAGTAACTTTAACTACATATCAGCAGTTAATTCTACTGCAAAACTGTCATTGGTTCCTATTTAACTAAGAAAAGTAGTTAATGCAACTGTATTATCACTTCATTCAACTAAATATCTGATAATTAATGTAAGTTCAAAATTATCTTTGGGGACTTATTGAACTAAGGAAAGTAGTTAAAAAGTAGTCAAATCTACTAAGAATTTTTTTCAGTGTATCAATTCTATTTTAATAGCTTCTTTTAAGTGATTTGCGATAAAAACGAGGTTCATTCGATTCTTTTGACGAAATTTAGGGAGGGTTTACGCTCGTTCTATCAGAAGAAATTGATTATTCTGTTTGCTTCGGAACTTGGTTTTCGTTTATTGCTTTCATTAAAGGGATTTTTTCACTAGGTGAAAGCGCTACGTCTGAAGTGATTTTAATCTTTTTCGCTCTTTCCTCGTCCAACTCGCGCTGCTTGAACCACAATTTTATATTTTCTTGCATTTTCGAATGCAAGGCTATCGTCACGCTCATCATTTTTTCCATTCCCTCCAATAGACTGTCGAATTTTTCTTGAATCTTGGCATAAGAGACTTCCGTTTCTGACTCTTCGATTTTCTCCGACGGTTTAGCCAGCATCCGATTTGTATCGTCCTTCGAAATTTTTTTTTGATCCTCATCGTTTCCGCACTGAAAAAAATTCGGTCGAAATCTTTAACTACTATTACCTAGTTGAGTTGAAAGTTGTCAAATTAATTACTTTTTTAGTTTTACTAACAATTTTTGTGTAGTTGATTTTACTACTTTGAATATAGTTGAAGAATAATAGTTTATATAACTAAAAAAAGTAGTTAAATTGCAAAAACAACTACAAAATCTAATTACATCAACTAAATTCTTAGTTCTTTTTACTACTTTCGGTAGTAAATATAAATTTTTAAATTCAGTTGAGGACCTATTGAATCACTCAGGGTAGTTAAAAAGTAGTCAAATCTACTAGTTTTTTTTTTGAGTGCGGAACAGTTTCCTGTGGCTGGTGACACACCTACCAAAGAAAAAGAAAATTTATGTGTGTCGTCGACGACAACAATCATACTCTTGTTACCAATCATTTTTGTTAACTCTGGATAAGACGAAGAAAATTTCATTAAAGAGAAATCTCGGTTACCTTTGGGAACATAATCTCGTGAAGAAGAGAAAAAATCGTTACACTCGTATATAATAGACAAAAGATTCCCAGTCATCTCGATAAGTACACTGTAAAAAAATCTGGTGTAAAATAACACGAAACTTGTAATTTCACACATCAAAATTATAGGTTGTACGTAGTAAATTTATTTCGTTCCAAAAGTAGTTTTACTATTTTTAATAATTTTACATTATACGACTATGTAATTTAATAGTTTTGTGTAAATTTACTACGTCCGACGTAGGAAAATTTGATCACTATGTCCGACGTGGTATTTTTACATTGCGTGTATTTCTACACTTTGACGTAATATTACGTCGCACGATCTGTACAATTACATGGCAAATGTAATTTTCTTATTCCTTTAAGATTTTCAAAAAATTTTCAAGTTTTTATAAATAACTCTAAAAAAGTGTATATAATGTACATTTATAGAAAGTATATGCTAATTTATAAGTAAATAATAATATAACAAAAAGTTTTGGGCTATATTTCATAAATACAAAAAGTTACGACTGAAAATATTATTTCAAAAAATATTTGCAGGTTATGTAGATTACAGTCGGCGTGTAAAAATACCACGTCGGACATAGTGACCAAACTTTCCAACGTCGGACATAGTAAATTTACAGCAGATTTTTTTACAGTGTAGCGCCTTTCTGCATCGTTCCACTAACTTCGCAAGCGTGCTCGAACTCTGCAGCGCGGTCATCATTTCTAAAAGATTGAAGTCGCAGCAAAAAAAAATTCACTTGAGCACAAAACAATCGTATTTTTCACTACCCGGTAAGAAGGCTTGAATAAAAAGGTATTAAAAATTATTTCATCATCAATAAAAAGACGAAAATTTTAAATACTTCTGAATTCCTTTTTTGTCCGCTAAGTTTAATACTTCTATTAAGTCAAATTCTACTATAAAATGAATCCTTTTCAATGCCCAAAGTTTACAATATTAGAATGAATACTTTTTAATCACTTAAAGTGGAATAAATTTGTGATCTAACTAATGCCTTTTAATTCCTTGTAAATCAAATGCTTGCTGGTGACAAAACAAAAATTGACCAATCAAAATCCAAGTTACTTGAGAAAAGAATGAAAAAAGAAAAGAAAATGGCTCTGTTCATTGACAGTTGTAATGTGCTTGACTTTGTAACTGGTGATAAATGGCGTCAACTGCGACTGTCCACGTGCATATAATCGGGTGCAAATTACCAAAGTGCAAATAAAATCCCACATAGCACCGAGAATTTCCCTAAACTAGACAGGATCTCGCCCAGCGAGGTTATAAATATTGCGTGGTAAAAGTCATGGAGAATGTGAGGTTATTTAAATGTCCGTACCCAGATAACAAAATGTCCGCTAATAGGGTGCGTATTTGTCGGACCTCGGGCCGATTAATCGGACCGAAATGCCGGCACATAAGCAGCTGAATGTGCGCGCCATAGCTAGCGATATTGCCAGCCCGTCAGTCTGGCACAGTCGTGCCAGAAATGGTCCGGCACGAACGTGCCTGCTATTTGTAAACCGATAAAATTATATTTTTATTAATTTTAATTATTATTTTATTAATTATAAGGAATTAACTATATTAATCACTGTGATTTTTCATTCGTTCTGTTCGCAGTGTGAAGTTAGTTGTTGTTTCCTAACATTTTTCATAATTTTACTTTTCAATATTTTTAATTTTCATTAAAATTAATATATTGAAAATCATTGAATTCTTGCAAAAAATTTGAGAATAATTGAATTCCTTCATAAAATTTCTTTAATTTATTGAATATAATCGATTTTCTTAATAATTTTCATAAATAATTTTACTATTAAACTTTTATTAAAAATTAAATTCTTTTATAAAATTTTATTAGAATTTTTCTATTAATTAAATTTTTTTTGAAGTATTTCTATATATTCTTTTATAAAAAAATGTAATTTTTCTAAAATAATTTGAAATGAAAATTTTCAAATAATTGAATTAAACAAAAAATTCTTTTCAGCTTTTTAAAATTGTCAATGAATTTTATTAAAAATTTTAAAAAGTTGAATTGTTTCAAAGGATTTATTGAAATTTTAAAAACAAATTCTATTTTTTTCGAAAAATATTATAAAAGTTTTTAAAAAACTTGAATTCTTTCAAGAAATTTCATTAAAAAGTATTGCGAACTTTTGCAAACAATTTTATTATTTATAGAAATAATTGAAATTTATTAAAATTTGAGAAAAAAATTTGATTATTTCGAAAAATTTTATTAAAACGCAATATAATTAATTTTTCTTTTTCAATATTTTTAATTTTAAAATTAATGTATTGAAAATCATTGAATTCTTGCAAAAAATTTTAGAATAATTAAATTCCTTCAAAGAATTTTATTATTTATGAAAATAATTAAATTCTCGCTAAGAATTATTAAAAAATATTTCAAAACCCTAATTAAATTTTTTTTAAGAATTATTTTCAATTTTTTTTTAATAATTCAATTCCTGTGAAAACATTTACTAATTTTTATAAATAATTCAATTCCTGAGAAGAATTTTACAGATTTTAGAAAAATAATTGAATTTCTGTGAAGAATTTTTATGATTTAAGCAAATATTTGAATTAATACGAATAATTTTACTAATTTTAGAAAATAATTGAAGTCTTTCGAAAAATTGGAATAATTTTTTATTTTTGAAATTAATTGAATTTCTGTGAAGATTTTACTAATTTTTTTTATTCAAGAATTCAATTACATTTTCACAAATATAATAAATTTCCTGGAAAGAATGCAATTATTTTCAACAATTAATAAAACTCCTCACAAAAATGCAATTATTTTCTAAAATAATAAAATTCTTCACAGGAGTTCAATTATTTTCAAATATTAATAAAATTCTTTAAAGAAATAATTATTGATTTGTGTTTCTTCTTAATAATACAATATTGTCCATAAATAATAGATTTCTTCAGAGTTATTCAATTATTTTCAAAATTCAATTTGAAAATAAAATTTCTTCAGAACAATTTTATTATTTACAAAAATAATTTAATTTAGCAATTAATTTAACTGCAACACTTAAAAATAATGGAATTGCTTCCAAGGACTTATTAAAATTTTAGAAAATAATTTAATTTTATCGAAAATTTTTTTAAAAATTAAAAAAAATGAATTCTTTCGTGAAATTTTATTATTTCTAAAAATAAGTGAATTTAATTTTTGAAATATTTTATTTATAAAAATAATTTAATTAATACAAAGAATATTGTTCTTTATGAAAATAATTGTATTTTTGCGGAAAGAATTTTATTGAAAATTTAGGAATTAATAAACAAGAATAATTAATTAGTAGATTAGTTAAAAATTTAATTTTTTGAAAGTTTGAATCTGAAACTTTTCAAAAATTTATATTTGAAAATAAAATGTTTTGTTATTTGCATAATAATAATAAATTCAACAAAATATTTCGCGCGTACTATTTACTAGTACATATATTAATTATAAGGATTCAATTTTTATAAAAAAAATATTTTTATTATTCGTAATAATACAAAATTATTATTATTATTATTTTAATAATCTATAATAATTTTTTATATTATATAATTTTATATATTATATATAAATATAAATTTTTAAGAAGAATGACATTCATTTTTTTAATTAATATATTATACCAGAGCAGATAATATAATAATTCAACATTAATTCAAAAGGAACAATGTAACTATTAATTCTGTTAATAATTATTTTAAGTTATAATAATTAAAATATATTAAATGTAATTACTAAATAACAAAAAAAAATAATTAATAAATAGCAAATTATAGAGTGTTGAAAACATTCCGGCATATTGCAGGCACACTTGGTCTTGAAAATAATGAACGGCAAGAACGGTGCGTAATAGCCGGCACGCGGTCCGCCGCCCATCGTGCCTGTGACGTGCCAGGCACGTTTGCTATCTGGGGCGTATAATAAGGAAATATTGAATATCAAACTTGAGCAATAATTTTACTGTGAATAATAACTTGACATGTTCAGGCAATATTGTATCAATGTTGCATGCAATATTCGCCCAATTATTAAATTTTCGTCTGCTAATATAAACTGAGCGATTTCCTGTCAAGTTTCAAGAAATTTTTGGTGCTGTGTGATTTTTATGTAAATCACGTATAATGTAAAACTTTTATTAAAACTTCATTTAATTTTAATTATTACTTTCCTTTATTTCACTTACTCATAAAAAATTGACTTCCTGAGCATCACATTTTCTATAAATACCTATATTTAAAATTGAATACCTTTCTACACCTAACCTAAAATTATGTGCTTTTTAATTCCTTTCTTATACCTTGGTCCCCTTGGTCAACGTTTATGTGACGATATTAAAGGGAATTAAAAATCTTTTATTCCCTACTAAAAATAAAATCAGGAATCGTCATGAATGGTCAGAATTTCTGAACATTCCTGAACAGTCTCACCACTTCTGACGTTTTCGAACGTTTCTCACCATTCCTAACCAAATA